CCTGTGACCTCGAAATTCAACTTTAAAGTATTCATGTGAATCGTCTCGTCGCGTTCTTCTTTCGTTTGCCGCGCCTCGTGCGCTTCGCTGCGCCTATTTGTTCGCGAGTTATCGGCTGGGGGCGTTGAACGCCCCCCCCCCCGGGCAAACGGCGGATGGGGAAATACCCCAGCAACTGCCGGGTTAATCTGACGCATGTTTTGTCATTTGATCGTCATTTTATTTCTTACTTTTTTGCCCAATCTAAAAAAATCATAAATACTCTTTCTCCAAATTTTTGACCGTTTATGACCAATAGTAAGACACTGTGCGTCACTACGTTGATATGTCTTGCCCTAAAGCATAACAACAATATCCATTCAGTAATAGCAGTATTCAAAACATGTTCAAAATGCCTCGCGATATCGATAACATAACGAAAGACATAGGCGACTTATAACATACTTGCAATGATGACGTCACACACGCGTGACGTGACGTGACCTCGTCATTTCTGAGTTACTGTATGATGCACGAAAGACACTGGTATACCTATGCAAAGTTTCATCGCAGTCGGTCTACGCATTAACAAGTTATGGGCAAAACATTTTTTCGCGTTGACCCCCGGCCATCCGTGAGGCCGTTTCCAACCATAGTGCGACGGGCCGCGGGGCGGCGGCGGCGGGGGCGGGGGCGGGGGCGGCTCAACTGTCGCCGCGCGCCTCACCCGCCGGCGGCGGTCGATAGGCCCGCCGAGCGGCCGTAAATTTACACGCCGAGCGGCGCGCCCGTCGACTGGGCGGCCCAAGTCGGCGGCGGCGGCGGCTGCGGCGCCTGCTCTCGGCCCGCCGCCCGGACGGCCCGATCAATACGGTGGACAGTGGAGCGGCGCGCTGCTGCCGCCAGCCACCCCTTCCGGCGCCGGCGGCCCCACCCCGCGGCCTCAAACCGGCCACTGCCGCCCCACCCCGCGGGCGGGAGCGGGCGGCCGCGCCGTACAGGAAATCCTGTGCAAGAAGGAGCTGGCTGAACGCGTGGTTTTGTCTGAAAGGCTGCAATTGTTGAACAAAAACTCATTAAACTCGGAAGAAAAAAATGTAACACGTTTTTATCTCAAACGTACACTTTGCAACAAAATGATCGGAGAATTATTGAAGTTATTTGAAATGATAAGCCATCGAAAGATATTCGACTTTAATGTCGTGGCTACTCAAGAATAGTCGTTTTCCTTCTAAGTAAAAGCGCAGATCCAGGAAACATCATGGGAGGCTACAAAGAAATGGGTAGGATTCGCCGTTAGGAAATGTGAGCTCAATGGTGAAAGGAGAGTCGATACACCCATTTCTTGAGAAACTAGTGAAACAGTTCTTGAGAAGAACTGGTGTGGAAGTAATTGCATGTCTGCACGAATATGTGAGCAACAGTGCTGGCTGTGACGTGAGATCCCTCTGCTGGTTCCGGGACAGTTGATCGATCGCGTCGGACATTGTCCCGACCTGTCGTCCCGGAGTCGCTGACTCCGCACTGCGCATCAGCGCATGAGTCAGCTCGCTGCTCAGCAGTCAGCAGCGGCCCAGCTCAATTCTCCGCCAGTTAACCCTATTAGTGGCAGGGGGGGGGGGGTTGTTTTTATCCACCCCTCAGGTTTTTCGGGAATATCTCCGAAACCGCTGAAGCTACGATGCTGAAATTTTCTGACTTTTCCTAAAACTAAATTGGGCACATTGCCTGAAAATTTCAAGTTCATAACTTTACCAGGGGCGGCTCCAGAGCACTGGGAATTGGGGGGTCCTATTCGTGAAGCGAGTCATTTGGGCGAAGATCACGATGCTGCACCAGTTTTACGAACAGTGAATGAAAGGTATCATGTGATAACATATACAAAGTTATTGTGCATCCTCTTTTGACACGTTTTTGTTATAATAGGCGGATCCAGGCGTCCAAAAAGGGGGGTTATTTTTTACCTCCCAACATAGGTGCCCTGACACCGCCTATGCATGACCAATACAATTTTAGTCGTTCTCTCCTAAGAAAATTGTAACATAACAAGACCATTGCCACCCTTTTTAGAAACAGTACCAACAAAAACCTTATTTACTATACTTTTTGTGTACCCCCAATCTCAATGATCTGTATCCGCCTATGATTTTTGAAAATGCATATTTTTAGGATCCATGTGAATTCCTGGTTCATTCTCTATCGATCGGCAAAAGTTGCGTTAAGATTGGTTCAGAAACCTGGCCGTGATAAACAGTCTAAAATGTATCTGCAATTTGCCCGTTTTTACCCCCCTCTACCCCCCTATTGACATTTTTTAATTTTATTTTTTTTTAGAAATGTAGATCTCGTTGAGGGAAATCGAATGCCGTTTGAATTTTGAAAATCGGCCCGTTAGATCTCGAGATATCAAGGGGGGGTCGTAAACAGCCCCCCCTGCCACTAATATGGGGTAGCCAGGAGCCTGCCACTAATAGGGTTAAACGCTCCCCCCCCCCCCCCTGTGTCATCACCCTCGCGGCCCCCGCCCCCGCCTCGCCTCTACCCCTCGGGCCGCAGTTCACCCTCCGCTGCTGAAACGAACAGCCACATTGATCAGAGACGCACAGACAGTTTGTGTGCGTGTGCGTGGCTCGACGCTGTCCAGGGCTGAAATGGGAATCGATACGCCAGGCCAGGCCCGCTGGAGAACAAAGGGTGACAGGCAGTGCCTGCGCGGCGGCCCCACACGAGACCGGTCTCCGTTGGGGATAACGATCGGACCAAGACAGCGTTCTGCGATTTATCTGCATACTGTTGTTCAATAGATAAGACAATATTCATGCCTTAGCAACTCGCCATACTATAGTCAGTCTCGGTAGGTATGTGATAAATAATTAAAACCCTTTGTATGAGTAAAAATATGGAAAGATGCGTAGCTTTGATATTCATTTGACCTCAGCAGGCTGAACATTTGACCCGAGGGCAAATTTGCCGACTTACGTCCGATACGGTTATAAACGCGCCCCAATGAGGCCTGGTATGAGTAAGCAGGGGTTTAACCCTCGCGGGCCCGGGGGGGGGGGCGTTTTTCGCCCCCCCCCTGGCGAATATTTGCGATAGCTCCCGAACGCTTAGGGATAGGAAGGCGAAACTTTCAGTACCTTTTCTCCCGTCAATTTGACATCTTCTGAAGTAAAAAATTTGGACCTAGCCCCCTTGATGACGTCACAAGGTCCATTTTTCTAGACCCCTGCACGGCAAACTTCGGCGTCACAGACGCAAACTTCAAATAGCTGCTAAAAATAGAGTTTTAGAGATAAAGACAAATTACGAGCACGGTTATGTAGCGTTTGACCTAGAGAAAAATAGAAAAATAGTTTTGGTGACCTGAGGTCAGAGGTCAGGTCAACGACCCCGAAATGTGGTTTTAGTTTTTCGCAAATAACTTCGACAAAAATGGTCCTAGAGCTACGGCAGTGGTACCATCGCATTCGCCTTGTCAAGCCGCGTCGAATGATATATATTTTGTTCGGAAAAGGTCAACTTTTATGTTGAACTCATGTGACCTCGAATGACCTCTGGTTGACCTTGACACATGAAAGGTCGTTAATAATGGATTTGTACCCGCTGATCACGAATCTGGCATCTATTTTCCTCTAAGCCTTCATTTAGAGCTTCCGGATTGCAAAATTGTCTTATTTATTATTACTAACTTGAATCAGTGAAATAGACTCTAGCAGGGATACTCTTCTGTGACCTTGACCTTTGAGCAGCCTTGCATCGTAAGATGAACCACAAATAGGGAACTGATAAGCCTCAAAACATTTCAAAACATCTTGGAAGTTAGCACGCAAGATATGCGAAAAAGTGCCAAGTTTGAGGTCAATTTTGAGCGTGACCTTGACCTTGACCTTTCACTTTGAGCACATCTTCAGAATCCTCAGATTCTCTTCTTTCGTTTGACAGCCAATTTTGCCGGTTTGATGCAGCCTGCCGTCCTCTAGAAGGCTTACTTTGAGATCACTACACATGTGGCAGTTTTTGCCTTTGACCTTGACCTCTGACCTTGAAAATTGACCTGAGGTCAAAAATTTTAGGTGCATTAGAATCGTCTCGTAAGGACCTTTCGTTTGGTATCGCTTTTGTTTCCGTAGCTCCCTTATTTACGGAGTTAGACAGGGGGGGCGAAAAACGCCCCCCCCGGGCTGCGGTGGTTGGGATTACCCCCCGGGCCCGGCCGGGTTAAGGTCCTCTGGGGGGGGGGGGGAGGGCCCGTCGTACCTCCGGAATGAATCATGGGATTGGAAAAATTCAAATGGCATTCCAAAGATATTATTGAGATGCACATCATACACTAGGTGTATACGGTCTCGATGACCTCGGTTTTTAACCCGTGGCGTCATATCTCCAAGCAGGGTCAAATCTGTCCCATTTACAATGACGAGCGGTCTGTCATAAAAATCCAGACTGCTTGAATGAGTCTCGATGTGTAAATATTACCTTAAGGTCTGACCTCTGGGTAATCATTTAAATGGATGATGACTTGTGACGCCACGAAAAGGGTCAGCCTTCCTCGACCAATCACAAGACACATGCGTGAATCGCATGGAGCGGCATGCTTTATTTTGAACATTCGAGCAGTTATGAGGTTATCCCAAACATTTGAAGCCACAGCAACATCTTGGGCCGTTTTCTTTGATCTATGTGTTACAGGCAGGAAGATCAAGAAGGTTAGATGGAATTGGTTTTAACGCCAAATTAGATCGATTATTTTTACATGGTAAAAAGGTAGGACTACATTCCGTCAGGGCCTGATTGTATGACAGACTTACCTAAGCAGCCAATATAGGTAAGTCGTATGTCTCGGGAAAACGCCTCCGTTATGCGAAATGGCAAAGCAGTCCGACCCATGGGTTTCTTGTCTTTTACTGCCAGTGAGCGTATGGTATGTCGTTAATCGCATACATATATAGACTACATCTACAATAATAGTTGCGTTTCCATGCACCCTGCGGTCTCAGCTAGAGATATAGAAACAAATGGAAAGGTTGCTATGCTGTATTTATATTCAGGCTGTATTAACACGAACATCCAAATCACGAGCACAGGCATGAGTATCTAACAGAACTCTGCTTGTAACTATGCTGCCAGCATTGCTCCCGGTAAGCTCACTCTCCAAAGTCAGCAGCAAATGAGATAAATTGTGCAGAATAAAGCGTCCGGGCGCAGCGCTCTACAAACAAACGGCACGTAAACCCGTGTTCGGAATGATTCGAACCCGTAACAGTTGCAAGAAGGTTCACGAAGCCACGCCAATACCGGCTCTGACAACATAGAGCCCACGTCAACACAAAGACGTACATGATAGCCTTCGTACCCGCTCGTTCCGATAAGAAATTCGTCCCTAGAGACTCAGCTAAACGTCGAGGGGCGCGGACAGCCAGTCCGACGTCCACCCCCGCCTACCGAGGTAGACCTGTTGTATAGAGCTGACCACAACACGACAAGACGACCTCGTCTGTTCGGTCACCTTATGCTAAACTGCGTGTATGCATGATAGCCTATACGAATATATATTTATACCCTAATGACTAGTCTACGAAAACGGGATGCACTAGCACACCACCCTGAGATGAAGCCTGAGATCGGTCCACACGTCCCTGAATAGATTCGGCGAGAGCTGTTCGCCTTATGGACAGCTTGGTTCGTTGACTGACCGCTGGTGACCTGATGTGACCTCGTTAAACCAGAGGCTCACATTGCTGCTTGTGGCCACCCGGTTGCTTGTCAATGTCTTTATTAGTATTTTACACTCGTCGTAAGATGTTCTACCCAAGAAGCTGGCAGAGCTTCATAAAACATCTCTCTTGCTTTCTTGCTCGATCATTCCTCCGAGGAAGAGCTTGATAGGTTTCAAAACCGCGACGGCCATGTCGTTATCGCATTTCTATTGTCACGGGCCTCTTCCAGTTACCTATAGGGGTGGTCGACTTCTTCGTCAATAACTGATTGCAAGATAATCCCATCCGCTCCATACAGCAATACCTGACTTGAGTCCGTCTACGGAACCAGCGGTCAGCTTAGCCACTCCAGCAGTCCACCCATCCACTTCAACCGCTTTTCCGCGTGCCACTCAGACCGGCATTAGCTGAACGCTGAGCTCGGCAGGAGCGGAGACCGGCCGCACGGTCGGCAGCGAGGCCAGCGCCGGAGCGATCACACCCTCCCCGCGTGGTGATGTGGAGGAGATGACGAACGACTGCATGTGGTAGGGCGTGCTATCAGCAGCCGGCAGTGGCAGGCCGTACAGGCAGCGCGCCGGCGGTACCGCGCGCTGGTGATGACGCCGCTCGTGACGCAGCAGCGTCTCTCGGCCGCGCGCCGTGAAGCCGCACCTGCGGCACCGCTGGCGCCGCTTCAGGTAGCCCTTGACGATGGCGGACGCGACGGAGGACTCGTGTCGGCTGCGGCTGTGCTGCTGCTGCCAGTGCTGCAGGAAGTGCAGTCGCCGCCGGAACCGGATGCCGCAAGGGCCGCAGCGGTGCAGTCGTTGTGAGGCCGCTGCCGCCTGTCGACGCTTGGATAATGTGTGTTCAGGCGTCTGTTCAGGCTTTACCGCGGTGGTTGGGGGTTTGATGTCAGCAGGGCCTGAGCTGGAACTCGGCACCGCCCAGGAAATCGCTGGAGCGGCTTTCTCGGTGGCACCAGCCGAGGAAGACGCAGCAGATGACGACACCGGTGCCGCTGGAGTCTCGCTCTCTTGCTCCGGTGACCGGGCAGCTGCAGCGGCGGCTGCGGCAGCAGCTGCCCGCTGCGCCAGCAGCCCGGGAGGCAGGTCAAACGGCAGCAGCGGGAAGGGCGAGTCAGACGGCGGCGCGGCCAGCTGTGGCAGCAGGCCGGGCAGGAACGGAGGGAAGCCTCCGGGGAACGGTCCGAACGGGTAGCGCAGCAGCTTCTCCCGCATCCAGAGCGAGCTGACCTTGGCGTCTTCAGCTCCGGACTGGGACTGGCCGCCGGTCTCTGACGGAGGCTGCTCGGGCAGCGGGTGTGCCTGCAGCATGTGCAGCCGCAGAGAGAGCAGGTCCGGCAGCGTCTGCGAGCACAGGCTGCAGGTGGGCCCGATGCTCGGCAGCTGGGCGGCCGCGGACGCAGCCGCCGCCGCAGCAGCAGCGGCAGCAGCAGCGGACGATGACGACGAAGAAGATGAAGACTTGGATTTCTTTTCCTTGGGCGCACCGTGCTCGCCAATCATGTGCTGCTCCAGGAGTTTGGGAGTCTTGAACTTGCCAGTGCACACAGTGCAGATCTCTAGGCCCTCTTCGTCCTTGCTGGTCTCCTCCAGGATACGAGGGTCAGGTTCCGAGGCCGTGTCGCGAATGCCGTGACAGTTCTGCTTGTGAACCTGCAAGAAGTAGCGACTGCAGAGCTCCTTATGACAAATGTCACACGTGGCACCGCCGCGGCTTTGGTGTGCCTCCAGATTGATCCCGTGCATCTTGGTCATGTGTGTCTTCATGAAGTACTTGTTGCACAGCTCCTTCTTGCAGATTTCGCAGTAGCTACGGCTTGTGCTAGCTGGCTTTGGGCGTTCTGGCTTCTTCTGATTCTCGACCTCACGTCGAATCCGTGCCAAGAAGGCCGTTTCGCTCAGCGTTGCACCCGCCTGGATCCCATGTGCTGTTTGCATATGTTGCTGAAGGAAGAACTTGGCGTAGAAATCCTTTTTGCAGATCGAGCAGAACGTTTCACCGCTACTGCCATTGCTCCCGGACTTTTCAGAACGCTCCTTACTACTGCCTGAAGGCTTTGAGGGGCCAGGGACTGGTGGCTTTGGAACGACGAGTTCTTCTTGACTCTGGAACATGCCGTGTTCCGTCATCAGATGTGCCTGTAAGACGGTCTTGTTTTCGAGTGTCTTAGCACAGACATGACACGATACTGCGTCGCTCTTTTTGTCATGTAGGCCCTTGATCATGCCTTGTAGCTTCTTCAGATCATCGCCGAAGTTATCCTTCTTCTTGCTCTTGGACTTCTTGGGAGGATGCGGTGGTGGTGGCGGCGGTCTGTCGGCTGGAGGCATAAGCCCGCCGGGGAACTGCTGTCCCAGTCCATGGAAGTAGTATTTGTGCATCTGTAGCAGGTAGCTGCTCTGGAAGGGCCGTCCGCACTGGTCACACTCCTTCGGAAACGAGTCGCGAAGTGGCGCCTCCAGGAGTTTCTCCAGCGGAGGGCAAGACACGGGAGGCGGAGCCCCAGCACTGCCTCCGCTACCCGATCCACCTCCACTGGCGGTGCTGCTCGGCGGTCGCTCCCGTTCCGGTGGCGGAGAACCGATCTGGTGCATCTTGTAGCGGTGCACCTTGAGGAAGTATTTGTTGCAGAACTCTTTGCAGCAGATGTTGCAGAAGGCGTCCGCGTTAGTGACGCCCATGAGACGCAGCTGTTCGCGGCTGAAGCGACGCGGAGTCTCTCCCTCCCGTCCGTTCGCCGCCGGTGCCGGCAGCTCGCTGAGCTGACGGGCGTCGTACGGGTCAGACGGCTCCGTGCGTGTCAGTTCGCCCTGCTCGGACTCCCGCGGAGCGCGATACACTGGAGGTCGCGGCGTCTCCTCCTGAGTCTCAGTCTCACCGTGCACCGTGGCGTGGTGTTGGCGCAGGAAGAATGGGTCGCAGAACTCCTTCTGGCACGGCTGGCAGAAGGTGTCGCTTGCTGGCCTCGCCGTGGCCTCGGCCTCGCTCGAAGGCCGTCCAGAGTCGCGAGACTCGGCGCTGGGGGACAACTGACGCCCAGACGCGGCTAGCTGCTGCGCCAGAAGCGCCGAGCCCACCGGTGGAGAGCGCGGTCCGTCCGCGTACACGCCGTGCTTGTTTGCCTTGTGCGTGCGCAAGAAGTACTTGTTGCAGAACTCTTTGCCGCACAGCTCACAGAACGCCTCCGGGTTGAAGATCTTGCCGTCGGTGGGTGCGGATGGCGGCTGACCCATCTGCTGGGAAAGGAATGGCAGCAAGAGCGGTGGGGGACCATACGGTAGGTAACCGGGAGAGCTGAACTTACGCTGCAGAGAGGAGAGGGTCTGGAGAGCGTCCTGGTTCGGCTGGCGTTCTCGTGAGTCTTCGTGGCCGGGATGACCACTGTCGTGGCGCTGGTCATGGCGGTAGTCACCCTGATGATTTCCATCTCGAGGCTGACTCAGGCGGTAGTCCTCTGCAGCACCTGACTGGCTGTCTCGCCTCTGACTGTTGCGGTAGTCATCAAGCGACTCGCTACCACGTCTCTGATTGCTGTGGTAGTCGTCATGTGAGACGCTTCCTCGTCTTTGATTGGCTCGATAATCTTCATATGACTCGCTCGCTCGTCTCTGATTGGATTGATAATCATTATGCGATTCGTTCATTCTACCGTAGTCTGCGTGAAACTGGTCGTGAGACCCAACAACTCTTCCCTGAGGAGTTTGACATTCGTCGCGCGAATCTGCGTCCCGTGAATACCCGTATTGTTCGTTCGTGTGGCCCGTCGGCGTTTGTCCTCGCAGGTCCGCGCCCTCTCTCTCCCTCCACTGGCTGGACAGATTGAGCGGCAGCTCCGAGCCACTCTCGCCTGTGGAGGCAGCGCGCTCACCATCGCGGACATGCTCCATCTCCAGGTGATGCGCAAGCTCCCCGCGCTGTGCGAAGACGCGCGAGCAGTGCGGGCAGGCGAGGTGCTCGGACTCTGCTCGCGGCGTCAGCGCCAGGGGCACCGGATCACCGCCCGGCTCATCCAGCGCGTGGATCCTCACCGGCTTCGACTGCTTGCGCCTCTTCTTGGCTCCGGCCAACATCAGGCCGGCGGCAAGTCGCTTCTCAGAGGCGTGAGTGTCGTCCGTGGAGCCCTCGGGACTCTCGGGGGCGCGCGGGCTGCTGGCGCCTTCATAGAGATAGCCGGGCTCACCGCACGTGCCGGCCCGCAGCCGCGCCGCCAGCTGTACTGCTGACGTCACAGTGAGTGACGTCATCGCCCCGTCTGTCGACAGAAGAACAGAGACGTCCGATCAGACGACGGCTCAAATCTAAGGATGGGTTTATAGCACGGAGAGAACAGGTAAGTGCTGAGACGGGATGGACTAATTTTGAACTCACCATGTACATGTATGAAGTGGTAAGACGGTGGGTTCGAGGATCGAGACCAAGTGATTGTTGTGTTTATGGCTGCTCGTTTGTCAGAGTAGCGGGACAATCCGGTAAATAAAAAGTAGAAAAAAAGCATTAATGGAGCATCCCCTCTCAGCCTAAGTATCGCATGCGCGGCACTTTCGCTTTTCGTTTTCATGCTGCCATAATCAGACCAATCTATTTATTTAATCTTACTATAATTATTATTTTTGATGACGTAGAACGTTCATTGTCTTCCTCTCTAGCGCGTCTATACGCGCCAATGCATTTTACTTACACGTCAAATATGAACTGCTTCCATCCTATCTCAATCAGACACCAGTATCAGGGAAAGGTAAGTACTTAATCGTACCTTAATAACAATAACTAGCCTAAGTAAGTTTTCTTATATGAAACATGTTAATCTTTGCAATGCGGTTGCCGAACAAACACGTGGGGCCATATTTGACTTAGGTCATTAGTAAAAGGACGGAAAGTCAGGAAGGATGATTGATACACAGGTCATAAGCAGGCTGGTCAAATATTACATTGCGCTAGAAAGACCACACTTTCCAATTCCATGCTCATAACCTTTCTTTGGGCATTCGTAACGCTTATTACATCACAGCTCTGTGGGGTGTGGCATTGGCAGATACCTATCTACGACTGGACATAAAAGGAGAACATTAAAAGCTTGTGACACGGAAAAAGGACACGCCCCTCCGGTCATTTTACTAATGCAGTTCTAGCATCGCCCGCAGTCTATCGCGGTTCTAGTGACTAAGAAACAATGCTCGGGCGCTGCTAAATGAATCACGCATAGGTAACTGGCGACTGTCGACTACTGGAGTTGTTTGTACCCGGACGCCCGCAGGACGCGTCTCATCAGCAGTCCGCGGCGAATCCGACCGTCACCCTCCCCTCCGCCAGCGAGTTAACCCTCGCCCATGTAGGGGGGGGGTTGGTGCAACCCCCCCCTGAGGTTTTTCGGAAATAGTGCAAAAACGGCGGCGCGCAGCGCCGCCAAATTTTGGGTACCTTATGGGGCAAACCTTGCGCATCTTTTGATAAAAAAAAATTGACCGGGTCATGTCAGGTCACGGAGTTATGACGTCACAAAGGGAACAGCCTCCGGCCGGATTTTCGCAAACTGAGTGCCAACGCCCGAGGTTTCCTGCCGGTGGTACGGACATCGGTTGATGGATCGTGATGAAACTTCCCATGCATGTTGGGGCAAGTATTGGCTATCATATGGTATAAGAAACTTGACCGGGTCAGGTCAGGTCACGGAGCTATGACGTCACAAGAGGAACAGCGTCCGGTACTATTTTTGAAAAGCGCCCGAACCACTATTTTGCTAATTCTTGTCACCTCAATGGGAATATGCAGCAATATTAGCTTCTATAGGGAGCAAATGGACCTCCCAAATCCAAAAATACAATCAGATTTCAAAAATTCAAATTTTGATTTTTCGAATTTCTGCCGCCGACTGTGACCTTGCCGACTTCCGGCGCTCCCAACGCGCCATTTTTAGAGCTAGGGAAACGAAATACATACCAAACGATAGAGAATTGATCAAGGAACACGATAGTGAAGGTTTCAAGTCGATATCTCCCACCGTTTTGCCGCAATCGCCGCGGAAAGTTGAAAAAAGTCTATTTTTCCGAAAATTTGACCTTTGACCGGTCAAAAGTAGGTCAAATGTTGACCTAGGACCAAAAAATATACCACCAATCGCGAGATCTCGGCGAGAGCAATCCGTTGGTCTTTTCCGCTAAGCTCTACGACGCTCCGTTTTCAAACGCCAAGGGGGGGGGTCGCACCAACCCCCCCCCCCCCCTGCATGGGCGAAGGTGGCAGATCGCCGTTTACGGGCGAGGGTTAAAAATACAGCTGCCGGTTCAAAGACCCATGAACTCACCCCGCTGCCGCCCGGCCGAGCGCGTGGGACGCTTCAAACGCCAGGAGCGCACGCACATCGCAGCCCCTATCCCCCGCGCCTCCCCCATCCCCAGTGAGTGCGTAAGCGGGCGAGGACGACAAACAACACATGGCGCACTGCCGCCGGCCCAGCTCCCGATAACACATCGTCACCCGAACTCCGCTCCCCTCTAGCTGCATCGTGAAAAAGGCGCGCCGATCGAGCGGGAGGACAGATGGAAGTCCGGGCCCGGTGGGCCTTTTGTGCTGTCGAACGGTGACATATTGGTCATATGATAGGTTATGTTAGAATGTCACTAATTGGGAATTCGGTTGCTCGGGGTTTTACCTACGTTTAGCGGGGCATTGGACATTGGTATAATTAATTTTAGTGGTCACCGACATATTATCCATGCGGTCGATGTAGATAGGCGGTCTACGCAAATTGTGTTCAAGGGGTTTCGGGCGATAACTTAACACTGAATGGATATTATCAATGAAATGTGAAACCAATCGATATAGGAATTCATTAAATGGAGGATATTTCACGAGGCGAATCAAATCAAATAAGCTAATACATTCACATTGAAATTGATAGGTATAATAGTCTGTCACACAGTAGCCATTATCACGAAGGAACAGTGAAGTTTAATTGAAGTTGAAAGCAAAGAAGCATAGCAATCAACGTTTCAGTGGAATTGTGAAAACCCTGTAACTCGTAGTTAACAACTACTAAAATTTCTCAGATATCAAAAGGAATAAACACGAAACGGTTCAAAAGGTACCCTATTGTCCCGTCATGAAAAAAAATTGTATCAACAATTTGCATAGTCGCACCATGTTCGTACCTATATTTACCTTAGATTTCTTTTTAGGGGTGCCGTGGCAACGAAACAAATCTTTCGATTTGCACCGATTTTCCATGTGCAGTGGTCCCATGGGCAAATTGATTTGATCTAGGTCCTATTAGTGACGGAAGCTCGTTATTTATACAATTATAATGTGATGCTTTTTAATGGTCTGTAACCTGACACTCTTCAGCGGATGCCCATTACTGTAAATTGAAAATAATAAGGTGCGATGCTTCTCCATCTCAACCCCACCAGTGGTGATGGGGTCAGGTCACCTTATGTATAGCAGGTCAAACCGATACTGTTACCAATGGAAGCTATTGGCAATGTCGAGCAATGACCTACACTTGGAAAAGCTCAATGAAAAAAAAAAACACTAAAAAAATACCTTATCCATGAAAGAGAGATTGATCCTGAGCTGGACGAGCTCTACCGGCTAATGTGTATTCCAAATACATTACTGAACAGGATTAGACTGCAAGACGATGACCCTGCTTCCATGGGCACTTGCTTTTTTAATTACCAGATTGTTTAATCCATCCACATAGCTGATCAGTGATCACAAGCTCCCACTGATCCTTTTGGTTTTTGTTTACCTGTTTGTTTGCATGATCGACAACGGGATGGACGCCCAATGACACGTGAAGTCGATGCTGCATTCAAGGAGGATGGGTCAAAACTTCCTTGCAAGACAAAACTCTGATCCTGCACAGGTCATCGTCTGTTTCAGCTAATTCACGAACAGTTTGATCTTATCGACAGCAGCGATTGCAAATAATGTTCCGAATCCAGAAACTGCTGTGGTTACCAGGACCGTATCCGTTCTTCCATCGTGAGTCACGCTGATTCAACACTACCGCTGCTGACAATGGATGGCGACGAACGCACGGCTGCCCTGTATTGTCACAATTCTGAACACTATTCCTGCCAAAGTCCTGGATTTATTGAACACGGGGACATGTCAGCAGTAATGCACTCGCGTCACGTTGATGGCGTCGTGAAGCAGTTAATAACGCTACAGCGCAATAAATGTATTGAGACATCACCAGGACATTTGTTAGAAGTCCGTCTGGTTTTATCGCCGGTGTGGAGGTGCAAGACTCAAGAGCGGCATGCAGGGACGGCCAAGGAGTTTCCAGGGGAACAGCCAATAGCTATAGGTGCTCTCAATGAGCATTAGATTCAATGCCATTCCATGGGTAAGTGGGCAAAAGCGCGCTCCGTCTTCGGCTTACAGTCGTTCAGAACCATACAAAGCGTGATCGAGGAGTTTTAGCCACTTGGATCTGGAAGTTTCTGGTTTTCCAAGTTGTCAAGAAGCATAAATGCTTAGTGAGTGGCAATATGACATGCCATTATACTGATCCCGTATGACCATTGAACCGTGGTCAGATTGCTGCTCAGAAAATTGCGTCGTTGACGGTGTCGGTGCCAGATGCAGCGGTCTGACGATCAACGTAGATGCCGTAGCTCCATACCTACTCCACGGCCAATAAAACAGAGAAATGGTAGCTAAGGATCCCGAAGAATATATGCATTGCAAACCTTGAACTTATGTCGGGAGAACAACAAAAATGTGTTATAAAACGGAAAACTTAATGAGAAAACTAGACAATACAAAACATTGTTAAAGGGACCCTTCGGCCTTCCACCTTCAAAAAAGTTAATGAATTTGAATACAAATAATGAATTGGTGTGCAATAGTTCAGCAAGAGCAAAAATGCATTGATACCAAAATTCAGCGAAAATTGTTCACCGGTTTTAATATATTATACTTTTATTTTTGTATATTTTTGGGGGACTTCACTGTTCTTATGACGTCCTTTGGAAGCAATACTTTGCTTTGCTAAGTGTGAAAGATGTTGTGCGCAAGGCAGTATATACTACCACATTCACAATTAATCAAGGTTTAAGCATAAGATTTAACCCGCGCCCAACCATGGGGTATGTGTAAACGCGTAAATGGGGTATGTAAAAACTAGATAGCCCCCCCCCTGCTGGGGGGGTATAGCCTCCCCCGCTTACTCCGAAACTACCAGGCCGATTATCAAAATTTAAACGGCGTCTGATAGCCCTGGGAAAAAAACTTATTTAAAATTAGGAGGAAAACCTAATTTCCTTGACCTTGAGGTCATCGATGACGTCACAGGTCATGTCAAAGTTAGAATTGTCAGCATTTTGGCTTGTTCACCGTTTAGGCTCTGGCCGCCGGCTAACAAGTCCGATCAGGCTCATTTTTTGTTTACGCACTACTTGATAATGCCTTAGATGCCCTGGGGGCTCCGAACTTGTCTTTGAATTTTTCAGGATAAGGCCAGATCATCTTAGGTCACGGAAATTGTATATCATGCATCGGTAGCGTGGCACATGTTTTATGGTCTATTTAAGCCATATATTTCGAAATCAGTGTCGTTTGTGTTATTTGAGGCCATTTTCAGCTGAATATAGCCGATGTCCAGGTCACTTGATCACCGGCCAAAAAAGGTCAAATTTTTAAGTTGAGATTTGTCAACAAAAAAAAAAAAATGTCAATCAGATGTCGTTTGAGCTCAGAAACACGATGGTGCTATTGATGTTGCTGTAGAACGTCAAAAACGTACCGAAAAAAAGATTTTAAAACACTGGTAATGGTGAAATTTTGACTTCAAAGCATATGCCTTAGCTATTTTTGAAGATATCGGCGGGCTAAAATTTTGCAGAGTATAGCTCAATGGTAGGTATGTGTTCGAATGTATTCCCTTTTATTTTTCGAAACAGGAAAAGGTAAGGACAAATTCCAAAATATTATTATTGTGTTTTTATGCTTATAAGTTTTCAAAGGTTTCAAAGTTTTGAAAATCGGAGGCAACAGTTTGATAGCCCTGTGTATTATGAGTCCTCTCATGCAAAGAAGTTGGATCTAGCTTTAAAAATGAGCACTTGAGGGCGATTGTCGTAGTTCAATGCTTAATGCATCAAAATCGGCCGAACATGACGTCATTCTGACGTCATTTCCGGCGGACCTATGGTAGCTACGAAGTTTTTATGCAGACACAAGACGTTAAATTAATGCAGCCGCGGGTACTACAAGTTTCGTGTTGATACGCCCAGCGCCTTAGAAGATATCGCAGAAAAACGAGAGGGGGGGGCTATAAATAGCCCCGCAGTGGAGCGCGGGTTACAAATTGCTAGATTTGCGCTGGCGTCACAAAGTCTAAGGGGGCATTCAAATGCATTAGCCCCTTAGAATCCGAAAACTGCAGCATTTGAAATTAAGTATTCCGAATTAAAGCATTTCTCGATGTTGTGAGTGCCCAAACCGATAATTGCAAGCCAGGGGACCCCAATTAGCCTAGCTCAACTCAACAATAATGTTAAGGTGGGATGGTCACTTAAATGAGCAAAAAAAGTTGTCTTTTGTTTCCAAACGATACCAACCAAGACTTTGGTCCTCGAAAGGGTCACCTTTAGGTGTGAGGCATCACGCGTTTTTGTGTTACTATTTACAAGTGGCCGGCAGCGAAGTCTTTAAGTTGTTATCGTTTTCGTAGAAATAACACCCCACACACAGAAAGGCATGGGGTGAACTTATCGGTTTGACCCACATGTAGGCAAAGGTAACTTAACCGGCTGAACAATGAAACCCTACCTTTACAACAAGCTCACGGAACCCCGGTGGTTTCTCATCGTATAATGTGTTCTGACCGCAGAAAGGAAGCCATACAAAATCGCCACCCAGGAAGAGAAATTCCTTAATAACTACGAGCACATAGAAAAATATATGGGAAATGAAAGAGCTTGGTGTAATGAGTCCAAAAATGGATCAGGATACAGGTCGGTGATGCTTCAATGACAGGAGCGAAGCATGAATAACTAATTTCCTAAATGTCAGTGAAGAAGCTGTTCAAAAATATAGCTGTTAAGGTAAAGGGTAGCGCAAAGTATAAAGTTTCGAAAACATGTTCAAGAAAGATGTGGATACATTTTACAATAAGAAAGACATTTTTATCACTTTTTGGAGCTGTAGGTATCTCGGCGAGATGAGTATTAAAATTTGTTTAATTCAAAAACTGCAAAAATGCGACTTTAGATATTTATACGAGCCTACCGTCTTATCCTTTTATGCATAGATGCAACTCTCAATCTGGCATCTAACTAATCGCCATTTGAATGTTAGAAGTCCTAGTGAATTTCAAGTAACTCATTGTTTGGAGTTAATATTCACCGTCAAGTTTGATTTTCATTTTAAAGTCCGTTTTTCTGACATTCGACCTGGGCCTCGTTTCATAAAGCGAGTCCGTAACTTACGCCGGTTTTTGGGCTTGTATTGCAAGCGCATGTGAAGCGATAAATTTATTTCCTCTTCTCCCTTCTGTTCTTGCTTGCAAGATAAATGAATTCAACGATTCAAACTATCGTCATCGCTGCACATGCACTTGCAATACAAGACCAAAAATCGCCGTAAGTTACGGACTCGCTTAATGAAACGAGGCCCTGATGTCGAATTTGACCATTTTTAAAACCCCACAGCCGATAATCGCCTTGTCAGAAATGACACTGAACTCAACAAATCAGCCGAACGGAGTATAACAATGCAGCACTTCACCTATGCTATTGGTATTTTGGTGAAGAGTTGCGCTCGAATTTGTCAGTGATTTACGTCCATTTTTTTTTAAACTACGAGGATAATGTCATTAAACTAAAATGGCGTAAATGTGATCCCCGCACAAGCACTAAAAGCTTGAGAAATATGAGGAAATACCTAGCTCATCGAAGCAATTAAATGCCCTTTTGTGCGTATTGCGTACAGCTTACTACAAAATGATATCCAATCCCCCCAGCCAATCGGTTGCCTGGAATGGTAGGCTGTTGCACTTTTCACAGTTTGAGTGATACAGCCTATTCTTCTGGCCTTATGCTCACCGACACGCTGATCTTATTCGGTTGTGTGGGACAAGGCTAGTATTCAAGTAAACCTTGTGAGGGATGGAAAATCATTATTCATTCAACTGTACCCATGGCTAGTAAAATATATGTATGGAACACCGGACATAAGACAGAACACCACCATACCTAAATAAAGCAAAGACAGGGAGCGAGCGACGAACTAACTAAATGGCACACGCACACTCTCTCCCCCCTCTACCTTCTACCTCTCCGCCCCCTCACCTTGTCAGTGCGGGCTCCGCGCCTGGCTGGGCCGGTGGCGCCGTGCCGAGCGGCCACCCCTGGCGGCCCGTGCTCGCCGCTCTCCGCCGACTGGCCGGGCGAGCCGTCCCGACCCCACGGGCCGACCGCCCCCACCCCGGCCGCCAAACACGACTATTGATTGGTCCAGCCGCCGACGCTGCAAACACGGATAAAAATTCAATTTCACTGAGCCGGTGCCGGCGCCAGCGCGCATGCGCCGCCGACGCCCCGCCCACAGCCGGAAATGTCGATCGCGACGGAGGACGCCGGCCACTCAAGAGGACGACAACCCTATCGTCGATCTGGGAAGATGGTGAGATGGGCGCGACCGTCGGGCGGCGAGGACAGAGCACGTAGGTCGACGAACGACAATCGCTCTTCCTTTTAGCTAGAAATCAGCAAAAATAGTCGCTAAACTGATTGCTGCTGCGTTGATCGAGTACTCATTCTAGAGACAGAGAGGGAAACGACCTCTGGATGGCGTCTAGCCGCTAACTGTCGCAAAAACTATACTGTGGCTATAGATTACCAGGAAGATAATACGCGCTGTTACAGGAGCTGTGCCAGCGATACAAAGCACCCCGTTTTCTGGAAGATGAGATGAGATGACCTCCGTTCCGTCGGGGAGCGGGGAGTAGGAATGTTGTGCGGAGAGCAATGACTGGGTGTTCGTGGAACCGGTGGTCTGCCGGAGCCGCCGCTCGTGATCGAATTACCAGATCTTAGTATTGCTGTGACGCCAATACAATGCTGATAACTCTCGCGCTCATTCGATTTATTCTTGAATCCACCACTCTCTTCGGTCTCAATAAGTTTGGAGAATTGACGGTGTGTTCTATGTAAATCACAAAAACAAGGTAACTTAACCATATCGTCACTGGTTGCAGTTATATATTTCGTTAGGTGTAACGACACATAAGGGCTCGAATACCTCAACTCGTCGAAGTGACATAAAAAATGACATTTCAAACGTCATTTTAAAATAAAATGACATTGAGATTAAATGAGCTTGAAATGAAATGAAGTAAAATGAAAAGATAAAGTAATAAACAGATGCTACTCATCTCGACATTTTATTGTAACCCCAAACCCTAATACGTGACTTACATATCCTAGCATGCATGTGGTAATTGAGAATGGGGTAACACAGTCAGTTTGAGGCTTTTTATTCTTTTCTCGCCAACCGTCTACGCATAGGTAGCTACGTCGCAATTTAACTCATTCAAACATTGATCTTAATTAACGTTTAGTGAATAAATTCAAGCTTATGATTTAAACGAATCTGTTGAATGCAGTAATTGATGAAAACTTAGGCGACGTCTTTTAAAAAGATGAAGTTTGTGTTCGAACGGCGCTCTGGCTGCATTGGTCATCGGCGTTTATAAAATCATGCAGGAAAGCTAGCAACTGGTCTGTTTGGCGACAAACGCAGGAGCCAAGCGCAATGTGACCCTCACAAGTGCACCATGTAAAGTAAGAACTCTAGTTGGCTTGTATGTACGGCCCATCATGTGATCCAGCTGGCCCCAAAAAGTGTGTATTTAGAGCACAGTTGACTTCTTTCGGGTCTTTGCGCAACTGGTTCAGCCATTTATGACATAATCATATGCTGGAAGGGTCCCTCCATGTGTGCACACTGCACATATGTACGACCAATGTCAAATCTAAGCTATTTTCGGTCTCTAACTCCGTACCAACTTCGAGCGCAATAGACCCAAGCCTGCAACGCATCCGCTATTATTGCCGCTAGATGGCAGTAGTAGTCTGCGCCTGAAGCTATACTGTGCCGCATTGCCCGCTCGTTTTCGGGACAACCGTCCTGTCGTTCGGCTGGGCGGTGGCTGGCGATAGGCTTACTACGAAAAATGGGCCCCATAGACGCGGGAGCCGGGGGGGGGGGGCAGTGGGGGCAGCTTGCCCCCCAAACTCTGGGGCCGTGGGGGCGGTGCCCCCACAGCTTTGAGACGGAATACCACACTTTTTTTTTGCAAATGTTTTCTTTTTTGTTGAAAAAGCCGAGGGGTGAAAAATAAGTGGCCTAAAACCGGTGAGAAAACTAGATTTGGGGGTACCCTAGGTTGATCTCTACTCTATTATGGTGCGCCCCCCCCCCCCCCCCAGTCGGAAAGTAGTTCCCGCGCCCCTGGTTAAAATGCTGAATAACAGAACAAAGCTAGGCAAACTAACTAAGGCATCTAAGCACACCTGTCGGCGTCGAATGATATGCTTATAGTTTGGGTGAGATAAACTTAGAGTGGGTCAGTCATTCAGGCCACCAAGTTGGTCGATGAAAATCATATCGCATACTATTCGATTCGGCTGGTCTCGCAAGTCCACTGGTGGTTCTCTCGACTCGCTAGCTCCATTTGATGGAGTGACGAAAAACTGATGTCCTTAGTGACGTAGTATGTACCTAACATCTCTCGAGCCCTCATTCTTTTGGACTTTTTTCATAGCGGCTGACTAATGGGGAGGAGGAGGGTGGAGGAAGGAGGAGTCGACGAGAGTATCGCAGCCTTCTAAGCCTGCTGCTAGTTCTTTCGTCACCTGCGCCTTCTCTTTTTCCGCCAGCGAGGAAGGTGTTGCGCGAACCGGCGCGTCGCGGTGGTGAGCGTTGACGATTCAATCACCTCGCGGCCGGCGGTACACCCGACCGGTGCCAATGAGTTACGGAACCAGTGAAGTTTTTACTGGTACTGCAACCATGCCATAGATAAGTATGTTCAATAAGCCCTGTGTACATACATACAACAGTCAGTAGCCGGAAGGACGATGTACTTTATCTGCGCAAGTCAATGGAGCAACTGACGGAGCACTTCTATTCGGGTTGTTATTCGTCGTCGTCGTATCTTACTCGCAGTATCCGTCTGTATGTGAATATGTGTGTGTTTGATGTATGCATCCTTTTAGCCGTTCTCCACACAAATGTGTTTGGTACCGATCCTCAGCGAATTGTATGCTTCATAATGGCGTAATACGCATCCAAACCTCGTGTAATGTTCCGATCCTTCACCGCTGAATGTAATATGACCCGGCACCTCATTTGTAACAGAAGTCGCGTGTATTTAATGAATTGGAATGCTACGGGTAGCCGTTGATCGCTTAGATGTAGGTACTCCCCTGCCGTCGATGCTTCCAGGAACAAGGAAGCCACAAAGATCTATCTCTACCTACAACCGTCGACACCGGTGATGCGTTTAACGTAATGGCGAAACAGATTCCATGAACTTAACAATGAGCTTTTGCACGCACTAAACCTACTAACTTGGCTAAAGATTTGCAACACGTTTTAAAGAATAGCTGCATCTCCTCAGTTCGCTGCAAGAAATGACGTTCCTGCCTATGTAGTCAGTGTAAAATCGTGAAAAGGTTGAGCAACCCCAACATGCTAGACATGTTTATCACATTCTCATCTCGTTATATAATAACACACACTTTAAAATTTCGGTGGACGCACTGTATTCGTACAATACATTGAGGAATCGTACACCAGTGACATGAAAAATGAGCATCAAAGACGATGGCCACAGCTTCACCTCTGAGTTTCACGCTACTAGCTGACAAGCATACAAACTCATCGCACCTATCGTACGAAATCGTTCACAGCTTCTTTCCTAACTCCCCGTACAGCTCTCGCCATTCCGGCGATACTGACGTGCCTCTGACACACTTCGAACACCACATTTACGTTCACACATACCTTCAGGAAAACGTCACTACTTTGACGTTCACGCTAACACCACAAGATGGACGTGACGTAGACTCCCTCGCTCGTTAGTCTCTCACTGTCCTTGCTCTCCATCGCCTTAACCATCCCCGCCCATGATATCTCCCCAGAGGGCATCGTCATCGTCATCGTCACTGGGCTCGTTAGCCGGCGGGAGCTTCGACACCTCACCCTGCGGATGTGGCTGAGGTTGTTCCACCGGTAGTGGGACTGCCGCCACAGACTGTTCCGCGGCAGCAGGCGCCGCCGGCTCGCTCGTCACAACCTTCTTGCCGAACAGCCGCTCGTACTCCTCGATGCTACCGATCACCTGCGGGAGCTCCTTGACCTTCGGCTCCGGCGGCGGCAGCGGCGGGTCCACAGAGCGCTTCATCGTCTTCAGCTTCTGCTTGACCCTGCTGTAGACCTTGCTGGTGTTGACCACCTTCTGCACCTTGTCGCTCTGCAGCCAGCGCACGGCCCACGTATGACCGGCCATGCCGCTCTCCTCCGATTGGCCCTCCTCTTCTTCCGCCAGGCGTTGCTCCAGTTCCTGCAGGCGACTCTCTTCTTGGCGCGTCAGCCGCTCCGTCTCCGCCTCTTCGGCGAGGTAGCGGCTCTGGGCCTCGGCCGCCAGCTCTCGCCAGTAGCCCAGTCCCTGCTGCGCCGCCGACGATGATGGTTTGGGAGCGGAAGAGGAAGGAGATGATGATGAGGGAGAAGATGTAGACTCGGTGACCGGTTTATCTTTCTCAGCTGGTGCAGGATCAGCGGGAGCGTCCGTGGCCGGCTCTACAGAAACCGCACCTGCAGGCTGTTCTTCGGTGGATTGAGTGGGAGGCTCATCGCTGCGCTGTGGAGCTTGCTCTTCCTGGGGTTCAACAACTTGTTCTGGTACAGGCTGATTCTCATGCTGATTATCAGCGGCAGCACCGCTCCTATCATGGGCTTCCTCTGACTGCCCGTCATCAGCCTCCTTGGCAGTGTCAGCTTCAGCAGCTATCTGTGTCTGTTTCTTACCTTTTCTTCCTTTTGCTTTGATTCTCTTCCCTCTACCTTGTTCCTCTTTTTCGACGATCTTGGCGTCTTCATCTGGCTTAGCAGAGGTCTCGATTCTTGGCTGAGAATCAGTCTCTGGGTCGGTTGTCTTTTGAACCTGTGGCTCTTCAGCTTCTACGACAGTTGCCCCCTGAGACTTGTCAACAGGTTCTGCTTCAGACTGGTTCGGCGCCGTCGGTTCCTCCTCACTCTTCGTTTCCTTCTGTGATTCTGGTTCGTCAACAGCGACAACCGCTGGTTGAGTATGATCAACAGTTTGAACTTCCGTCTTGGTCTGAGCCTCCGTTTTCCCTTCATCTGTTGTGGCATCTTCGGGTTTTCCCTGAGCTTCCGCTTTCGACTCGCCTTCTACTTCTGAAAGCGATTCCTTCCGTTCCACATCTTCTGTCGCCTCACCAGATTCCTTCTCAGCATCCTCTTCGGCATCACGAGTCTCCGCCTCCACTGCACCCCTCCGTCTACTCCCAGATCGCCGAGTTCGCGGCGGGGCCTTCGTCACCTGCGGCTCCTCGGCTGCGGCGGCTCGGGTTGTCCGCCTGGACCGGGTCGCCGGCGCCTCCACCGCCGCCGGACGGGCCCCGCGCGGACTGGAGCGTGTTGAACGAGTCGTCACGGCGGGAACCTCAGCGGGTTTCTCAGGAGGATCCGGAGTCTGCGCAGCGGCGTCCGCGTCTGGTTTCTCGTCACCTGGTGACGCTTTCTTGCTAGCTTGTGCCGGACTTGCACTCAGGTTTCGGCGTCGACTCGAGGACCTGGCTGGCGTGGATGGTTCACTCTGTTCGCTCGCCTGGCGTCCTCTGAGGCGGCCCGAACGCCGTGATGGGGCGGCTGACTCCGCGGAGTCGCTGCCAGCCACTGATGCTGTTCTGGTTCTTGTCGATCTGGTCGGAGTGGACACCGGGACTTGCTGTGAAGATTCATCAGTTTCTTTGCTCTCGGGCTCAGGTGTCTTTTCCTGTGCCCTTTCAATCTCAGTCGTTTTATCAGCCAGAGGTGCTTCCAGTGTTTCATCTGCTGTCTCTACAGGTACATCATTTCCTACTTTTCGTCGTTTCCAAGATGAGCTATGATCTGAGGTGTTGCTCTCTCGCGGCTGAGGGCTGCTTTCATCCACTTCGTTGCGCTTCTTGCCCCTCTTTTGTTTCTTCTTACCCTTCGCTGACTTTGTGACAGGAGTGACATCAGGGCTAGGCTGTTCACCACTAGTTCCCGGAGCGCGCTCATCTTTCTTCGGATCTTCTGTCGTGGCGCTGGCGTCTTTCTCGTCTTCTTTGGTTCCGCTGGCGTCCTTCGCTTCTTTTCCGATCTCAGGATCCGAAGCTCGGCGTTCCAGCGCTTTGAAGCCTCCCAACTCATCCTGTTGAAAGCCAATGACAGGCATGTCCCCATCCGATGAGACTGGCGTCGTTGGCGGGGATTCCATGTCGATATCTGCAGCTTTTCGCAATCTGCTCAAAGCCGGGGAGACAGGCGTCTTTGATGGACTAGCAGCGGATGTTGACGGAGTTGCTTCATCAACAGAAGATGAAGTTTGGCCAGGATCAGTCGAAGCTAGTGCGGACTCTGCTGGTGTCTTCGATGGCGTGGCATTGCCGTTATCTGCCCCAGCTTTCGCAGCTGCGTCTCTCTCAGCATCAATATCACCAGAAGCGGTCACATCAGTCATTTCGGTGTCTTTCACAGTCTCCGCGTCTGTAGACTTTGTCGACGGAGCCATCTCTGTGTCCTTCTCAGAGTCCTTTCCAGAAGTCACTTCACTAACCTCACTCGTCTTCTCCGCCACGTTGTCTCCTTCGTCCTTCGCCGCGGCATCAGTCCTCTTCTCTTCGTCCTTCTTTTCTCCATCAGCTGCTCCTTTGTCGTCCGCCACGAAATCCAGCTGGACAGCGCCTCCCTCGTACTCCTGCCACCGGCGCTCCTCGGCCTCTCGCTCCGGGTCGCTAGCATCTTCATACTCGCTGCTAACCTCACCCTCCTCCAGCTCCTCTGCCGGTGGACGAGGCTTCTTCTTCTTCTTCTTGGCCTCCGGGGGAATGGCCGGCGGGGCACGACGCTTCCTCCCACGGCTTCGCGAGTGAGACCGAGAATACGACCTGTACCGCGACCGCGAGCGACTGCGAGACGAGAAACTGCTGGAGCTGCTGTGAGAAACGCTTCTGCGGCGGCGGCGGCGGCGGCGACCGGCGCGCGAGCCGGAGAGTGAGCGGCTCGAGATGCTCGACAGTGAGGAGCGACGGCTTCGTCTGCGTCCCCTGCTGCGACTGCGACTCCGACTGACACTTCTGCTGCGACTTCGACTCACACTGCGACTGGCGCGCCGCGAGGAGCGCCGCTTGCTGACAGACCGCGAACGGCTGCGGGAGGAGCCAGAGCGACTTCGGCTCCTCTTCCTGCTACGACTCCGCGACTTCGAGCGCGACTTGGAGCGCGATGCTGACCGCGATGCTGAACGCGACGGGGACCTCTTGCGACTGCGGTACGTGCGAATGATGGGAGGAGGAGGCGGCGGCGGCGGCGGTGGCGCCGGCGACTCTGATTTATCAGCGGCTGTTTGGGCATCGTCCGTCGCCTCCTTCTCTGGCTCATCAACGTCAGCTTTCGTCTGGTCCTCTTTAGAATCAGTAGCCACGCCAGAGATGGGAGCCCACTTCGAGGGCTCAGCTGCCGGCGGTGGCGGGGGCGGTGGGGGAGGTGGCGGCGGCGGAGGCGGCGGCGGCGGGGCGGCCTCGCTCTGTTTGTCGTCTCCTTCCCCAGGCTCGTCATCGCGCTCAAGGAGAGCCTTGATGGCGCGAGCACGCATCTCCAGCTCGAGCAGCTCCATCAGCGTGAGGTCGCTCTCCTCGCCACCTGTTGGACAGACGCGGAAATAGAAGTTCAGAAACCCGCCGATAAACGGAGAATTAGATGGGCCACGTGAGAGAAACGAAGATAACATCGGGTGATCATCATTTCACGAAGTGTTCCCCGCTCGCTGAGGCATATACAGGGTGATCCAAAAAAATTGGAACCCCTAACTTAAAATGTCTGTAAGTCAGAAAATTTTCACTTTATTGACAAATTGCAAACACCATTAAAAAGAGCGTTCAATTCTCTATAAAACCAAGTTGATTGAACATAATTATTACTATAAATATTGCCCTAGACATATGCCTATAAAATTTGTGTCACGAAACTCAGTGAAACGGTTTTGAACATTATGCGCAAATCAGTGATTGACGGTTTGCTGTTCTGACCATGTCGCTTGTTGGAGGTTCATGAATAAAAATAGCTCATTCACGTGCTATTGTAAGGAAATGAAAGGCTCACGGCCTGCTGGGACCAGTTCTCCCAGAGACTGCTGGTCCGCGCTGTCGGAGCTGTCCCGAAGCAACTGCAAGTCTGCGTGACGGCCCACGGAGCTCGCGTTGAGCACATGCTGGTATGAACAGCGGAAGCTAGGACGCGTGTATCTGTTCTACTGTGTGCTTCTGTGTAAACTTTTATGTGATAAAATTGAATTTGGATGTGGTGTTATTCGAAAAAGACAACAGCTAGAGTGCTAACGGATTTCAGCGCATTGTTAACATTTGGTGATTTCGTTTCACTCAGTTTTCTGACGCTCATTCCAAAAGCTAATTGTGTGCCAATGCTTTACAACGTACATGCACCAATTTGACGTGATTTTATAGAAGATTTAATGTTCTTTCTAATGGTGTTCACAATTTGTCAATTAAGTGGATACTCTCGGACTTATAGACATTTTAAGTTAGGGGTTCCAATTTTTTTGGATCACCCTGTACATTGGACTTATGACATTTCAATTTAAATTTCGTTTCACCATGGCAATGGTAGTTACGGAGCGAGCGAAGCGAGCGGAGTCTTACGTAGAATAACGGAAATTTCTGAGTATGAGCGGCCGGCCGGCCGGCCGTGCGGACGCTTTTGCGAGGCTTATATCTCAGCAACCACTTGACCGATTTACACGCGGTAATTTTTGTAGGGTAGCTTCATTCCTTCTACCAAGTATTGGACTATTCCCGATGCATGTGGGTGACCCCTTATGCATGTGCCACGTGCAAAACGAAGAGGTGTCAGTTTTGTAATTGTTGCAATATCTCGGTAACTACTTGGCCGATTGCGCTAAAAGTTGGCATGTAGGTAGGCACCCACTAGGCACTGTATATCCATGTGCCAGAGTTGGGGTGCTGCTGCACGTGCGCACGTGCAGGGGTCGTTTCCAGATCTCGAGAACGGCTGGACCGATGGCGCTCAAATTTGGTACACGGTTAGGGACCAGTTAGTAGGGTGCCGTGCACAAGTCAGTTGGGACCCATTTTGCACGTGCGCACGTGCAGGGTGCCGCTTCCAGATCTCGAGAACGGCTGGGCCGATTGTGCTCAAATTTGGCACATCGCTAGAGACCGGTTAGTAGGGTGCCGTGCACAAGTCAGTTGGAGGTACCCCCTCGAAATTTCGCACGTGCAAGGCTCTCCCTCTCGCTCGCTCCGTTACTCGCCCCAAAAGGCGTTATACTGGTAATTAAGCTATTAGATGATAACTGTTGCAGAAATTCTACAAATAAATTGCTACGCAAAAGGTACAGCCCACCGCTAAAGTAATGTAGGGTTTTACCAATCTCAACGGTTGGTTTTGACTGGCGATTGTTTAATGCGGAGCGATCGAAAAGAAGATGTCAATAGCTAAAGTTGCAGCTGCAAGGGTGACGATACATATAAGCTACATTCAAAGTTTCATTGTAGTCTGGCTAATCGTTCCTAAGCTTCAGAAGCAGAACATACCCATGAATGAAACCACACATTACTTCTGCTGTGGACTGTACCACTCAGTCGGTCCGACTTAGACTGAAGTAGGTCAAATGCAGTGTACGATAAGACTCACCAGCTGCAGCGGGGGCGTTCCCGGCGGGTGCCGCGCCTGCCACCGCGCCCGGCTCCTTCGGCTGGGTGGGCCTCACCTCCCTGAGAAAAGAAAGACAACTGAGCTCAGCCACAGCCCACAGGCACAGCGAGAAGACATTGACAGCAAAAGGAGAGAAGACATTGCTTGGTCCCTCCCCTCCCCTCCATTCTTAGCACCGCCTATTGCTCTGTAGATGTGTATTATCTTGACCAAAACTTACTGTTTCTGGGCCGCAATGCCCGCCGCCGGTTCCACGGAAGTGGAGTCAGGCTGGTTCTTGCCGCTCGTCCCTACAAAAGGCAAAGACCAAGTTAATAAACACAAAACAGTGATATGGAAAGACAAAACAACTGTAGATTACACAACAAAAACGCACAGGATACTATTTACTTGCAATATGGATTCACTACCCTTCATCAAAAAACAAAATGAGATGTGTCGCATAGAATGCGATACGGCGCTGTGAGAAGCTGAACTTACCAAGGTGTTGCTCTAAAAAGGCAGCGTATAGGGAACAAAGAAAGGACATCAGAACTAAAGCGATAATTTTACGATGCATTAACGACCACTGACCTAAGCCCCACTGAGCCCTGGTCCCTCCACCAGCAGCAGCGGCCTGTTATCTCCCGCGCTATATCCTATTTGTCAATGACCTTTCCCGCATATCACATTGTCAACTACATCCCCACGCATTCCTAAAACCACTGACCTCCCATGCCTCACCAGTGCCACTGGCCTCCTCCAAGTACCCTAGCGGCCTCCACCCTCTCCCTATATGCCCCAGTGCCTCCTAACCTCTCCACATTATATCCCAGTGAGCACTCACCTCTCCTATATCCCCCAGTGCCCTCTAACTCCCCACGTATCCATCCGTTACCCACCTCTCTCAGAGTCGTCGCTCTCCGAATCGTCGTCGGGCGGGCACGGCTGGCCGGCCAGCACGGCGCGCACCTGATCGGAGGAGAGCTTCACCAGCTCCACCAGACACAGGCTCTTCAGCTCCGTCAGAGGCAGCTCCTGACGAACGGACACGGCAGTTAGACACGGGTAATAGACTTGGGTCAAGGACGGCTGGATGGATGATGGTACTGTTGGCGAGATTTGGAAGAAGCGGAATTTCGGTGCGCTGAGGAGTAACAGCGTCTGGCGTCATATTCAGCGTCGACGTAAGTGGTGAAAAATTGCCAAATATTCATTGTATGTTTATCACGGTGACGTTTTATCATAGACCATCCGAATGAAGTACGTACCAAAGTAACAACAAAGTATAAATTATCATATAATATCTGCCGCAAAATCAGTTATCTCAACCCTCCAGCGTCAAAAGCACGCCACACCTGGCCTCTGTCCCGTCAGCGACGAGCCAGCCAGCAGCGAGTCTATCCCTCACCTTCAGCACGGGCGGCAGCATGGCCTTGAGCTTCTCGCCGCTGATGATGTGGAACATCTGCTCCAGCATGGCGGCCTTGTCGGAGATGTAGTGGTCCATGGGGTAGACCTTCTTCTCCAGGTCCAGCTCATCATCGCTGTTCAGCAGCTCGGCGGTCTGAGACTGTGGGCATCAGGGGTGCAGGGTGTCAAGGGTGCAGGGTGTCAGGGGTGTCAGGGGGTGCAGGGTGTCATAGCAAATAATGTTCTTTGTGCAGGGTATCAGGGGTGCAGGATGTCAGGGCCCAGGGGTGCAGGATGTCAGGGGTGCAGGATGTCAGGGGTGCAGGGTGGCAGGGTGGCAGGGGTGCAGGGTATCAGGGGTGCATGATGTCAGGGGTGCAGGGTGTCAGGGGTGTAGGGTGTCAGGGGTGCAGAGTGTCAGGGGTGCAGGGTGTCAGGGGTGCAGGGTGTCAGGGGTACAGGGTGTCAGGGGTACAGGGTGTCAGGGGTACAGGGTGTCAGGGGTACAGGTTGTCAGGGGTACAGGGTGTCAGGGGTACAGGGTGTCAGGGGTGCAGGGTGTCAAGGGTGCAGGGTGTCAAGGGTGCAGGGTGTCAAGGGTGCAGGGTGTCAGGGGTGCAGGGTGTCAGGGGTGCAGGGTGTCGGGTGCAGGGTGTCAGGGGTGTCAGGGGTGCAGGGTGTCAGACGAAACTCTCCCGCCATTAGCCGCTGAAATTGTCTCCCTGATGAAAAACAACACAGAACCAGAAGAGTGTGGTTTTATGCTCGTTAGCTCTATGTGTCACCACAGTATATATTCTGGGTGGACCAGGGTTAACGGTGCCGTTGTCAGACTCGCAGGGCTGGCAAAGGGTTCCATGGTTTCCTTTTTCATATTTTTTTTCAGAGTTTTGAATGAACAGACATCCGACGTCCGATGCCAGAACGTATGCCAAACAGGTAGTATATACATTATACAAGTTGCGAAGTATTTTACGGTAATGATCAGTCGGGAAGTGCTAGGCATACATTGGGTTGACTGCGACACCGGTTCGTCAGCCTCATGCGGTCTGTACTATTGCGACGATAGTAATGTTGACAACTTACTTTGCTCTTTTTGGCCCTCTTGTTTCTTTTTTCCTTCTTGTCTTTGCTCTTTTTGCTCTTGGCTGGTGATGACTTCGCCCTAGAAACACAAGAAAAACGGTACCTTATCAAAATACCTTATCAACAAGTGACCAAGACTAGCAAATAACGTTCTTTGTAATATATGTGATGTCTTATTGTTTTTATTCAGACAGCAAGCAGAAATGCAAAAAAAGTGTCATTCTAAATGAACTCGTTAATTTTATATTACAAGTAAGTTTTTGTAAGTCAATAACGTTTGCTTACCAATCGTCGTATGCATTTCGGAGTACCCGCTTTCTATGCATTTTTGCCTTTCTGTATTTGCGTTTCAGGGAACTGGAGCGCTTGTCGCGCCTAAAGGCATGCAGTGCCTTCCGAAGAGCATTGGTAGCATCCTGGCACTCTTCTGTCCACCACTTGTCCTTTTTCTTGAGGTTCTCCTGGTCAGAGGAATCTGATGAGGAACTGGTGATGGTGCTGCTAGAAGAATCACTATCCATTTCTCTTAGCAGTCTGTCAAAAGAAAACCATCCTATGTCAGAGGATGGCCTTGCTCAAAGCATCATTGAACATGTAGATTTCAATGATGCTTTGAATAAACATGTGTCATCATTTGAATAGACAAGGCCATTTGGATTCAGCACTATTAACCATACCTATTACCTATCCACCGGACCAAGTGCTAACTGAAACTCATGCTGCTTCAAGAGGCTAGGAAACAACAATGCCACATATTTTGGATGAGAATTGAATGGCTGAGCCTTGAGGAAAGGAATTTAGCTCTAGATCAGGGCCCAGTTTCATGGCACACTGCTAGCAGCTACAAGCACTACTGCATTATCAGTTGCATGGAAACCCAATTATAAAATTACGAAATTTGTCTGTGGGATACACAGTGTGTGTTCAGATGGGCAGTTTTTCACGTGGAATTTCCACACTGAGAAATTCCTCACAAAAATGGCCATTCGGGAAGCATGAAATGTGAGGAATCGCACCACATCCAACAAAACAGCGAGAGATGCAAAAGCGTCTCACACCCCTTTTTCAAGTCATGCAGTGAGTTTCTGCCTATTGCGGTATCGATGGGAATGAGAGCGAGGACGACCTGGCGACACAAGCGGCTGCCCTGGCCCTGCCCTCCAATGCCTGCTCGCTGACCAAGGCGGTTCATTGTGTGGGCTCGCATCAATGGGGTGACAACTGGTCCGAGTCCAGTCCGAGAATTCAAGCCACTCCTCGTGAGCACGCCGCCGCTCCCTAACCCCGGAGAGGACCGAGAGGACACCGTTTCGGTGCACCAGATGAGGGGCGGGCCACCGGGGCCGCTCGCTCCAGTACGTGCACCGAATCGGCTGTCTCCACTCCGCAACGTGCCAGCAGTGCCCAGACAAGCGGTGCCCCGCGGCGCTCTGCGCCGTGTGCTGAGAAGAGGCTGATGAGCCAGAGCACTTGCTGCTCTGCTGCCCGTTCCTCGCTGGCTCCCGCCAGCTTCAAACATACCGTGACTGCTCCACCGATTTTTGTGGCCCTGAAACTTTCGGCTCCGGCCTTGTTTCACAGCAGGACCCTACAGTGTGCTAAGCGTATCGAGCTATTCGGTTTCCCTGGAATAAAAAACTTATTTGGACTCTCAACCCAAACATGGGACAGCATCCAAGACTCACCTGGTCAGGGCTCAGGACGCTCTCCCATGTTTGAGTGTCCGAAAAGTTTTTTTTTATTTATAACAAGGCCCCGGAACACTGTCTGGTTGATATCGCCTTGATAGGTAGATGTGCACATGTGCTTTATACGTGGCTAAATTTTGACACAAATAGGCACCCAATTTTCGGCATAAATCATGCAAAAAAAATGGTGATCGTTCGGGAGAGGTGGCCGTGGAGCGAATTTCGCAATCACAGCAGTGTGGGTTCCTTATTTAGGTACCTACCATAAAAATTAACAATACATGTTTTAAAAAACTATGGCCTACAGAATCTAATAACTTACAATCTACAAGAAATTAAAATAATCTTATTAAAAGAGCAACAATATCGGTTACGTTCTCAAAATACGTGCCCCCTATTTACCTACCTACCCCGAACCTCCACCAAAAATTTCAGCACAAAATCACGTCAGTGCCAAATTTCGGTGCAAGAAGGTCTCACAGGTGTCCGCCGTCTGGCGTAGTGCATGGGTGTTTTCAGTCTGGCTCCCTCCTCAACCCTCCAAAATTTTGATTTGATTTTGCATGACTCCAAGTCAGTTCCAACTTCCAACAAACAAGCCTAGGTCAATGCCCGACATAACGTGCAATAGCAACAGCAAGCAGCGCTTCAGATTGAGATCATGATTTACCAGGATTCTGTAGCAGAAAACTGAAAAAGTTCTAACAGATTTTAAAACTTTTCACAGTACTCACCAAAATCTAATTGAAAAATTATCCAACTGCACGTCGCTCGCGGCACGCGCAACGCCACTGAACTCTATAATGTGGAATGCGCATCGGCCGCCAGATGGTGTCCAACGGTGCCGCCATGTTGCGCAGACCAGAAAGCGGCCGCCGCCTGTGTTGGGGAATAGGGAATTCGGGACCTCGATTTACGTTTACGGTCGCTGCATCCGTTACGTTCAAGCTATGTGGACACGGAACCCAGCATCTTACGCAGAATTGAATGGAGAACAAGATGAAATCCTTAAAAATCCTCAGATATAAGGAACTAATACGTTAAACCCTTATAAGTCAATGGGGAAATATGAAAATTGCTATTTTGGCGCCGAAAATGATCGGAAACTATCTCAAGCATATAGAATCATGATTTCATGCACTCCTCGCAAGGTTCTATGCTTCATATTTACATTGTTGCTCTTGCGTGACGTCATTTGTGACGTCACAAGGGTCACAATTTTTCTTCAATAACTCCCGATCAAATTGAGCTAGCGAGTCGGGAAAGCCACCAATGGACTCAGGAAGACCTGCCGAATCGAATGATATGCGACATGACCTCTTTCGACCAACTTCGTGACCTGGGGGTGCTGACCTGACCTTGACATGAGGTCAACACCCTAAGTTGACCTGACCCGAACAAAAAGTATATCATTCGATGCGCCTGAGCTAGCTGAACACGATGATGCCAAAATCGCGGCTCTACGGCCATTTTTGGCGAAGTTATTTACAAAAAACCGAACCCTTGCCTTAGATCACTTGACCTGACCTCAGAGGTCACCGGTTGACCTGAGACCTTTACAGTGGGTTCCTACCAGTCACTCTGCATTATACTTTACCGCATACGACCACTTTACCGCTTAATTCTAGTCACTGGCGGTCGCAGCCGCTCGCAAAAGGGGGGGGGGGCCAAAGTCACACTCGCGGGACATAACATTGATCAGTCACCGGGGGGGGGGGGGTGATCGGCTACTTTTTTACGTCCACAAGGCGCCGCGCAGTTGGCATTACTTATGCTTCATCCACCTCATTCTTGCGTGAAATCTTTAAGCTCAATTTAAGGCAAAAGCACCAGTTCCATTTCCCGTCCCACGGTGTTTCCACCGGTCGGGCCACTGCACCATGGCGACGGATCGGTGTAGCATATACTGGAAGGTCGGGCACGCGGATTCATGACCTTACCACAATAAAACAATTCGGAAAAGTACGGATACCTCTTGCTTTGAACAAGCATGTGAAACCCAGAGATCATTTTCAGACTATGACATTTACCCATATAGCTGTTTGGCGGCGGAAGAGAATAGGTACACCGACCTCTGGAGACCCCCGGCCCCACAGGTTCCTACTTCCTGGTTTTCAAAATTGGCATCTGAGGGCCGCGCACGACTCGCGCGGGGCCTCGCAACGGCTCTATTGGGGCTCACTCAACCTGCCTTATAGTCCTACTGCTAAAAAGAATGGCCCTGAGCAGAGCCCTAAGGACTTCATCAGTCTCTGCCAGCCCCAGGACCCACACCGGCTCATGGGGTCCCGACGTCGAAATATGAGGGAATCTGCGTTGGACCATCAGGACGTAAAGTAATCTCGATCAGGACCAACGTACGGCTGTGCAGGAGTCTGCGTGAGCCCTGTGATCTTCAGAAGCCCACCCATGTATGTTTTCACTTAGAGGCCAGTTTAGGGCCCTCGGAGACCAGTACAGGGCCTGCAAACTGCAAAGGCCAGTAGTTTGAGACCATCAGAGACCGAGTTGGGCTCTCGGAGGCTTATGTGGGTCCTACTCATTACAGGCCAACATGGGGCCCTCAGAGGTCAGCGTGGGGCCCTAAAAGACCGGAACGAGCCGTCGTTGGAACCCAGAGGCAGAGGCCAGCAGAGGGCCCTCAAAGGCCAAGATGAGCCCTCCTCAGAGGCCAATGCAGGCCCTTAGAGGCCAGCATCGGGTCTTCAGCAGCCAATGCGGGGCCCTCATTGGCACCTAAATGTTCGTCTTGGGACACCAGAGACAGTAATAAGGCCACTAGAGACCGGTGTGAGACCCTCAGACGCCGGTTGGGGCCCCTGAGGCCGGTAAGGGGTCCTCATAGGTCAGATGTGGGGCCTCAGAGGTCGATGTGGGCTCTTAGCGGTCAACGTGGGCGCTTGACCGGGCACTGAAGTTCCCTCAGAGGTCAGTGTTGGACGCTCAAAGACCGGTGTGGGCGTGTTTTTTTAGCCTCGTGACGATCGAATCAGGGCCAGGGTCCCATACACCTATGGGGGCCCATCGGTTGCTTGAGGGGGGGGGGCAAATGATATGATGGCCCCCTTTATGTGCCTTGGGGGGCATGGCCCTGATGCCCCCCGCGACCGCCACTGTGTACACATTACATACAGGCCTCTGAAATTACATACTAGCTAATGCAAACTCTATGCAGGCCCCGGAGATCCCACACTAATCCTTAAGAAACCAAGCCGGCATACGGCGTCACCACCGGACTTCTGAGGTGCACAGCACCAACCCATGAGGTCTTACTTTAGTTAGTGTCTTAGAGTCACGCTCCTTTGGCAGGGCCACCCGCCACTGCCGAAGAGGTCTCATGCCAGCCATTGCTGGGCCTACGAGAGCCTCAAGTAAACCCACGCTGATATTCCATGTAAGATGCGGCCATACTCGTGAACCGGTGCCAGCGACGCTGACCACCAAATTGACAGAATACGAAACTGAGCCCACTCATGAGTGAAATTTACGTCCTTTGATGGCACAAGAAAGAAAATGAAACATACAAAAAGCTTTTCTAGGACTTGTTTTCGATCTGAAAGGTGGGGCCAAAAGATAGTATGGCCCCACCTTTCAGCACCAAAGGGGGGGCCATGGCCCCCGTGGCCCCCCCCCCTGGGACCGCCAGTGATTCTAGTTAAATTAGCGGCGCATTAGCGAGGTGGGTTCAATCAACCCCCTCGGCCGGGGCAAATGTAGGTCCGGCGAGTGAATTTGAGGAATTCTGAAGATACGATCGTGTTCCCCACTCAATTCTGCGTAAGATGCCGGGTTCCGTATCTACGTAACTTGAACGTAACGGATGCGGCGGCCGCAAACGTAACTCGAGGTCCCGAATTCCCTATTCCTCAACACAGGCGGCGGCCGGTTCTTGGTCTGCGCAATATGGCCGCCACCGTTAGACACCACGGCCAATAGGATTGAAGCGGCATTGCTCCCCTGTGCGCAACGCGCAACTTTTGCGCCATAAAATGTATTATACGCGTTAGTTTCGCTGCAACGTATAATATGTTCTAATTGTAAGCGCAGGAGAAATGTCGACATTTGATTCGCTGCCTTCCTTCAGTTCTGCGCTGCCATTGGTCGGTATGCTTGAAGATCGCTATTGATGGAATGTTTGTTCAGCTTGACACGTGCATTGCGAGCAGGGCTGGGCAGTTGATGCCCAGTTGATGCCTGACGACAGTTGACGGCGTAGTTGGCAGTAAGAGGGGTTGTTACTCGAATTATCGGATTTTGTTTGGCCAGGGGCTGTTAAGAGTAAGTGGTATTGACATTAATGGTGGGCAATTTGGTTTGCTTTTGTCGAAATTAAATGAACTCAACTGAACTGAAATCAGAATGGCTTCTTGATTATCTCAATCTGGAATTTTCCCTTCTTTTCAGCTTGTGAATCATAATTGTGCACACTAACTCTAAATTATGTAGGTGGTGTTATGATATCTTTTGCAATGTACAGGGTGTACATTGTAAATATAAGTGTTATTAGGACAATGCACATGGCATAAGCATGAAACAGCATCTGATCACAATTTACGAGTGACCAACCATGCCTCAAATATATCCTTGTTTGGCAGTTTGCAACCATGGCTGGTCAAATAATAGGTAAAAGCCTAGCCTTTACTTCCTAGCCCACATTTATCTATCCTATCTTAATCTAAAGCCAACTAGAGGGTTTTTTAACTTCAAAGTGCAATGTTAGTCTCTGAATAATCCTGCTTTCTCCATTGACAATGGACAAGTCTTTGACAGTTTTAACCAAATACTTGCTTTACCTAATCCTTTTCTCATGTTAGTTTTGCTTGCCATCCTGCTCTGTTACATTAATCAGCATGGGAGCTTTCAGTTGACCATGCTTTACTTGGCATCAGCCATCAATCAGGTTCTGCTGCTTATCTCACCAACACTACCCTCATCTTTTCAGCCAATCTCTGACCGCCATGCTGGGTCGTCTGCTGCTGGCGCGCAGAGGCCGCTCGGGCCTGGTGGCGGCGCTGTGCCCCCGCCGGCCGCTCTGCACGCAGCCGGCCGATCCGGAGCGGGTGTCGGAGGCGCTCGGACTGCCCGAGTCGGACGAACGGCGCCGCCAGCTGCACCTCATCATGCTCGAGTACAGCGAGATGCAGGTGTCCGGCTCGCGCGTGCCCGACTCGATGTCCAACTACGACTGGGGTGAGCTGCTGCGGCTGGGAAGCTACTCGGCGCGACGCAAGTACCTCGGCTACCTGTTCAAACGCGAGAAGAGTCGCGAGGCGGACGCCGAACGGCGGAAGCGGAAGGTTGAAGAGCGCCGTGAGAAGCTAGCACGTGAGCTGGAGTCGCGGCCGAGTCACATCCGGTACGGCCTCGGTCACAACACTATCTTCCACAGGGTGACCGACACCACCATAAAGTCGTGGGAGGAGCAGCGACTGTACACGGCCATGTGCTTCGGCCAGCCGCTCGTCATGGACCTCTCTTTCGAGCCGCACATGACACGGCGCGAGAACAAAAACACCGCGCAGCAGCTGACAATGCTGTTCGCCAACAACCGCAGCGCGCTGGACCCGTTCGACCTCCACCTCTGCAACGTGAATCCGCAGGGTGAGATCATGGAGTTCCTGCGCCGGGTTATACCCAGTGTGGAGGAGCCCGGCTTCCCGCTGCACCTGAACCAGGAGAACTACCTGGACCTGTACCCCAAGGAGCGGCTGGTGTACCTGACGCCCCACTGCCGCAACGAGCTGCGAGAGTTTGACCACGACGCCGTCTACGTGGTCGGCGGCGTGGTGGACCTGGTGAAGGGCAGGCCGCTCTCGCTGGCTAAGGCCAAGAAGGAGGGCATCAAGATGGCCAAGCTGCCGCTGCAGAGGTACCTCAAGTGAGTAACTAGGGCATTTTTGGGTCGATAAATATCTCAGTGAATGTATCATCTGAGGCGTCTTATTTATGCTCTGGACCTAAAGTCATTCCCGCGATTAATTTAACAAAGTATCTGCCATCTGGCGGCTCGGTCCAATATTGTTCCATCTGATTGTAGGTGTGAGGGGGCCTGTGCGACAAGCTTCCCTTAGCATGAAATCCTGCTCTTTCTGTTCGTCCTTCTGAACGTTCGAACTAAATTCGTTAATTTTTAATCGGATATTTGTGTTTAACCATGTCAATCTCCTTAAGATATGAATTGCAGCATATTTTCCACATGTACCCGACCTTTTCATCGGCGATTTCGTAAACGGCTATCTCTGCTCGTTAAATGCCTACTGGTCTTTAATAATCGTAAGGCGCATTTTTGTTTTATCTTTTCCGTGTGACAGCATGGCATGGCATGGCCTGGCAACAGTAACTTGAAAGGAGTCCATTACATAAGTGATTTCCTGGATGACAGCGCAATCCTGGGTCTGGGGAGTAAGTTAATAGTGTCATGAAGTCTTTATTGCAGGATTAGTGGTTCTGATAAGGTCTCCTTATGTCATTACAGCAAGTCAGCCGGACCGGGGCCGTAGTCTGGAATATTTTTCATATTTATTTCGCATTATCCGCCTTGGGATATACATAATCACGACAGGAGCTTTCATGCAATTTCAGTCAAGGCGCCTACTGGCGTCGGATATTCGGATGTTATTTCTTTTGTTGCCGTTGCTTGCTGTAAGTGCTCGAGGCCTGTTTGGGCGTCAATCGGTGTTTCCCAGCCTGCCTTTCCGACGGCGTTCAACTGTCGAAACTCGATCCGGAAAGTTGGCCTGACTTCTCAAGTTTTCTTTGTTGCATCTTTGTGTTGTTTTGATTCGGGAACGCCAGAAATCGCTGTGGGCTGTCTCGCCGGAACCTCAGTGAACTTTAAGATTGTCTGTCGTGCGCAACCGAAATTCGGTGTAATGTGTTTACTACAATTGAAATGACACCGCATCGAATTCAAGACACTGTCGATAATCCATTAATCTCATAAAGTACCCTTTTAGATATTACATGACGTGTTTGAATAAGTGCTGCGTTTCTTTACTAAAAGTGTAAGCTGGTGTGAACCCTGTCATAGTGTCATAAGTCCGTTCCAGGGTGCTGGAAGCGTTTCATGTGTGCGGTTGTGCGTGGTACGATGCATGCATGTCACTGTCATCCTGATTCGTTCTGCGCTCTTCTTTCTCCCTCATTCCCTCTCCCTCCCGCCCTCGCCGCCCCCTCTAACCCCCTCTCTCCTCCGGCAGTGTGGGTCCGTCGTTCAGTACCTCTCTGACGCTGGTGGCCATGGGGCAAATCCTGCTCGACCTGCAGGCGGGCGCCGGCTGGGAGCACGCGCTGCGCCACGTGCCGCGCCGCGGGCTGCTGACGCCCGAACAGCAGCAGGCGCAGGCGGAGCGCCAGCAGAGTCGCCTGCAGAGCTTACAGGAGGCGGCCGAGAGACGCCGGCAGCGCTGGGAACGCGCCGCGCAGCAGACGGCCGGCGAGCGCCGCGCACCGCCTGGCGGAGGAGGCTGGCGGGGCGCCCGTCCCAGGTGATGAGCGGGAGGGGGAGGGGAGGGATGCGCGTCTGAATATGAGTGAGGAGCTGTGTGGTGTGTTTGCCTGTGCGAGCGTGGTTGAATGAGTGTCATTGAAGTCAGGTCTCGATTTGATATTGTTACTTTTTGGACGGATTTTTGAAGATGAAGCTGCTCGTATCTAGTCGAAGTGATGAATGTATGATCGTGATACGGGGCTGGACGAGACTTCTGTAGGGGCTTTCTCCAGCTGATGTTATGTCCTCAGATAGGAGACTACTTTGAGTTATTCCATCTCGGAAGAGTTGAATACAAGTATCTTAATTTCGAAGAAATTATCCGTGTCATCGATATAAGATATTGCGCTCACTTGTGCTTAACTTAGTGCAGTGCGCATTGTATCATACCGGGTGTCCCAAAAGTAAGGTCATCATTTGTTTTGGCCACACTGCCAAAAATACGCGATGGATAGATATAAATAGGACATCATATGAAAGAGCATTTTATAAAATTTTATTCTGACATACATATGAGTCAATACATGGGCTCGTAGCCCCACATTTGCTGCTTTTCTACATGGCTACCATTTCGGGCCGCGTGCATGAATAGACTACGTTTGACTTCCTCCACTATTCTGGAGCGATTCTCTGGTGAGATGCCGCCTATGTTTGCTCGAAGGGATCATCCTTTAGTTCTTCCCGGCTCGTTGGGCTGTCCTAAAAGACAATCTTTCTGTTGTGTATCCAGAGAATAAAAATATGAAGGTGTAACGTCAGGTGACCGCGGAGGCCATTCAATGGCGTTGCCCTGACTGAAAATTACGGGATCTCACATCCACTCTCGGAGACAATGCATGATCTTCAGGACGGTGCAAGCATAGTCTCCATCCTGCTGAAACCACTGCTGGCTGATGGTGTCGGCACAGCTGCGTTGCGACGAGCGGAAGAACCACTGGGAGGACTCTCGGCCACCTCTCTTGATTTATTGTCACCCGATTCCCGCTGTCGTCCTCAGGACCTCGAAGCACAGGTGGCTAAGTATACATGCCCTGTGCGTACATTATACTTTTTTTCCGACGTTTTACTGGTTGAGGCGAAACTATGCATGAGTTCAGAGATAGGGCGAGCTGATAGGGTCTGCTTAGGGCCGAAAACTGGGCGGTATTTACCCTTTGTTTTAATGACGGACCCTCTCTAAGAGTTGAATTTCGACCTTCTCAGTTTTATGCCTACTGCTCGGTGTAGTTATGATCAAAAATGGTTTAAGCATGCAAGAAAATAATTTTATGGATGTACCTTGCACGTGTTAAAATTGGAAGTGATTCGGACTCTTACTTCTCGAGATATTTAAGTTTTAAATCATGACCTTACTTTTGGGACACCCGGTATCTCTAGTTTTGCCTGTCCCGTCAATCTAAGCCACACCAGCAGTCAACAGAGCGCCGTAAAAGGAAGTTTGGTTTATTCACATCGAGGCCGCGTGTCCAGAGTATGTATTTACACGTTCGCGTGATCCGAGCCGGTCTCGGCTCGCTCTCTATAGATACACAGTCGATGCATAGCACCGATGGGGCAGAGCAGAAGCGAAATCGCACAGACGAGGCGAACTCACGGAAAATCGGCGTTAAACCGTCACAGCTTCGGCCAAAAGTGAACGGAAACTGATAGAAAGTGCGTGGAAAACGTTGGTGATTGCATTATCAAATAAATAGGTGCACAAATTATAAAAGTAATTCGACGTGAATTGACTTCTGCTTTTAGCAGAGCTGTGATATCAGATAATAAATAAGACAGACAGGTTCATCGCGAGAAATATCAGTTTCCGTGATCACTGGCGGCCTCTCCGCGACTCTGCCCCGTGCCGGCGGACCGGCGGGCGGCCGTACTCTAGTCAGAGCAGCGCGGAATGTTAGAACAACGAGTGGACATTCGACCTGGAGTATAGTAAAATATCGACACACTCGCACGCACCACGTACACCGAGCGACCGCGCGAGCCAGCTGCATCTGTCAAAGCCTGAACGAGCGACCCCCTCCGCACGGACCCGCGGCAAAACACATCACGAGTCGCGCTGCAGGCTCGTGCCTCTGAAGGGTCTCTGCCCTGTGAACTCGGGTTGTCCCCGTTTTGTCCATCGCTGAAGTTTTAGAATAGGTGGTCAACCAGCGCCCTGTGCGCTGGCCCGATTGTCACAGTGGCTGAGGACTGGCAGCTCACGTTGGATAGGCGCACAGAATGGAAACGGAGGCAAGTCTGATGGTAGAGAGTTCGAGCTGAATTCACCACGTCGTTAGGCCGGGTAGGCAGACATTTTGTGGTGAACAGAACGAGGATTATCTCGAAATGAACAGAACAAGATGTGTTCTTTCACCGTGCATCAGCATAGATAATTGAACACAGACGCCCTGAACACGATAGGCGTGCAGGCCCGACAATTCACATTGCCTCCGCGCGAATAGAATCTCTGGGATTATCTACAGCCGCCACCCAGGCTGCGAATCGGCGGCACGGCAGCAGTCGCTCAGGGAAAAAAGGAGCGATCGTGCTGCCATCTACCAGCGCCAACAACAAATTGCGCTTCCAGGCGCCGCAACAGACAGCGCTGCTATCGTTCTGCCATAACTGCGCCGCAAACTTTCTCGCGAACTGCGCGCACGAGGCGAAACTGGAATAAGAATCACAGGACGACAGCGATGCGACATCACAAGTGGTCACAGGACCGCGCCGGGCGGTACCTCAGGGCGGAGGAGGTCAGGGTCGGTTAGCCACGCGGCGACGCCTTCACAGAGGGAGGGACTTGAATATCCGACGGCTCCTCTGCGTTCACACGCCGACGAAGGCCGTTTAGGACTCGCGGCTACCGTGTCTCGGGGTTGGGAGGATTTCGGTGACCCAGACGTAGGGACTGGGTAGAGGGACGTGCACCCATCCTGATTACTCTCTATCGGGATCAACAACTTCAAACATGTCTAGCATTTAACCTGCTTTGAATAGTAAGCAAAAAGCGATCGTCGATCAAGAGAAAACAAAAGCATGATGCGAAAGGGAGCCAATTGATCGCCAGACATTTAGAGATTGCGAATGCTCTAATGAAACCGTTAACTGCGGGCGCTGTTCAGTTCGACAACTTAACAGCAAAGTCGTTCTTCGCAAATCAAGTTTATACCGATGCATCGACTGTGGCGTGCATCGTCAATTTAAATGAGCGTTTCCAGAAGTTGTCTAGGGTCACAGTAGGGGCCACGAACACTTAACTATAGGGTCATTTTGATGAAAGCACGTCACTAATACATACGTCAGCCGACTGAAAATACTACGACATTTCCATGATCACCAGAACTACGACAGTCTTCGAGAAAAGACTGGCACAGCTTCCCTCCAATATCGATCTCATTAAAATATATAGCAAAAATAGAATTGGTCGCCGGAAAGAGTCGCATGAACCGGGCAATATTACAGCGGAAGGGTGGCTAAAGTCAGGTCAGACTGAGCGTTAAATCCCACCGACTGTCCAAGTGCCACTACACTGCCCAAAGACAGGGTCTGTGACGACGCATATCGGACATTGGAACGGGCTACCACAGCTAACATCAATGCTGTAAGATGTCAAATTCTGAAAAGGGGCGCACTCTTACGGATCGATTGAGGATGTATGAATCAATAAATAAGTTAGCAATGTGTGAGCATTGCACACGCAACGGAGACGTTTTTCAAGGTGGAAACAAACATGTGCTTATGTCCTTAAATAAATTCAAAACTATTTTCCATAAACGCCTGTTTCACTCGGGATTTTTTCAAAAAGGGTCCGTCAAGACATGCCTCACCACCTCAGGTCGGGATCGGGCAGTGGGTCAGGACACCATGATTTAGCCGGGGACGGAGCACAGGCCGACCCGCAGCCGCGGCCCGCGCGGAGCAGAGGAGCCCCCCAGAATGCATAACCAGTGTCGCCGACACGTGTCTCTGCCGTGCACTTTGTACATCGGTCGGGGCCGGCGGCGCCCCGCCGATCGGTCCGTCTATCCGTGTCACTCCCGACGCGCCTCGCCCGGTGTCTCCGACCGTCGGCGCCGCCCGCTCGGAGCTGCCCGGTCGCCCGGCGTCGGTCGGGCCGCGCTCCGTCGCCGTCGACGCTCGATCGATGGGCGGCGACCGGCGCGCGCCTCGGCCGCCATCACTGGTCACTGGCCGCCTTACGCTCACGCGACGGCGAGCGACTACTGTTGAGAGCCAGCAGACGCATCTGACGGATGACCGCCGTCGCGTGGTACGCTTGCTGTGGACACAGACACACGGCGTTAGGGACAGTCTATGAGGGTTGGAAACGAGCACACGTCGTCGATGGCGGTCTATGATTGCCTCGTGACATTCTATAAGGGTCGAAAACGACCAAAAGGCGTCAGAAGCGGACGGAGTCCCAGTTCCCAAGGGACTTGTGGCGGCGGGAACTGATAAAGACGAGTCTTTGGCGGCCCACATGGGTGCCCATTCCAATACCCATGCCACTGAGGATAGGTACATGTGTTCAAATAGGAGTACACAGGAAAATGCATAACTAGATACCTATGTACACGCCAAAAAGGAAAGGCAAACACCGTGATATCAGATATAGGTACACAAAAGTACATCACAAACCAAAGGGGCAGTGAGTATTGGATAGAAAGGCGCTATTAGAATGACAGTGAGATGTAAGAATAGAAGTTATGCAACAGCTAACGTCAAAGAGGACAATTTCGCATCAAATGACGACCAAATATCGTCACGGCAAGACCATTTCATCAGAGGAAGGAAGCTGTGGGCATACGCCGAGGGGCTGGGAAGGGACCCACACAGAACAGCGATAAATGGGAACACGGGCATGGGAAGTCACAGCCAGAGCGCAATCAACGACCAAAGGTCACTCAAAGGTCAGCGGATCTAACGTCGTTTGACAGTGCCCGTGAAACTGGAAAATGACCGTTAATAGTCCAGAGGGGAACATCACGACAAAACGAACAGTTGAACGGACACAATTATGAATTCTGCGGAACGGCTTATTCTGTTAACTGCATTCTATGACTTTACAGAAGTTCTGATTTCTAGAAGCACATATAACAATCATTCCTTCTCGAGCATTCAACTACGCTTATTATATCCGTGACCGAAGCGTCTACATGAGCTGCTCTTGGCATTCCCATCATCGTTCCTACATAAGCAAGATGTGCACTGTATAGTGTACACGCTGCCCTGAGTGCAGCTCAGCAAGAACACCGCAGCAGTGAGCTCAGCCAGGGCACGCATTTTTTACAGCGTGTGCTAAACCGTCGCGTCATCATCGTCAAATGGCCGTATCATCA